AGAGGAGAGTGTGAGGGAGTAGCAAAGGACCAGAGAGTCTGTCTGCTCCAAGCAGGTCCCCTCCTACCCCTGGATCCCTTCTGTGAACAAAGAGCAGGGCCTTCAATGGCACCAAGGCAAGTCTGTGACCCTCACTGTCTTCTATGCAAGATGAGACTTTGAAGTGATCTGTGACTCTCTGGAAAGAATCCTCATCCAGTTTCCAGAGCTGGGAATGGATGGAAAGGAAAAAGATGGGTAAGGCCAACATCTCACTGAGGGCCACCATGTCCTACTTGTGTCCCTGTCCTGGAGCTGTATCAGCAATCAAGGCCCTGTTGCAGACACAGGGCACTCATCGTATGACCTCTGCCATCTGTCTGGTACCTCCACTCACACCTAATTTCTATCTCTGGCCTTCTCAAGGGTATTTCCACTAACCATCATCTTAGAGCTGGTAGGTTTGTCCCATGCCACTCTGGGCAAGTGACAAGTGCTAGGATGGCTCTGGTAGACACACCCTGCTTGAAAGAGGACTTCCTTGCTGGGAGCTGAACCTTCCCAGTGATGTCCCTTTCAAGGGATGGACACTGGCTGAAATGGGCCTGACACTTTCTGTCCGGAGTGAAGAGCTTGTCTTAGTTCACAGCCTACATCTAATCAATCCTGGGAGCCTTAATGGAAGGGATGGTGTTTTAGTAGCTACCTGAATGACAGAAGAGAGCTGTTTGTTGCTGCCAAGGACAGATCAGGGGTCACATTCCTGCTGAGGCGGACATCCTTGCAAGCTCATCTTGGGTACTAAACTGGATCTGTCACTGCGATTTCACAGCAGCCAGTCAGGAACAGAGAGACCTAAGGAGGGAACTCAAGCAGGCCATATGCATTAGCAGTGGCATTTATAAGTCTGAATCCAAGGAGAGGAGTTGGGCACAGTAGCCTCTTCTCCAAGACTTTGTGAGATTGATTTTGGTGTTTCTATCTCAGGTAGAGCTATCTGCTCATAGCCCAGTTTTCATTGGCCACATAACAAATAATAAATCAGGCATCCATGCAGTTAGAAGCAGGTCAGGCAGACCAGGGGACAAATCCCAGTTTTTATTTATTGTGTGGCCTTGTTTATATTGGTTTGCTATGGGGCCTCATTCTCTCTGAGCATCTATTTATCTGTTAAATGGAACCATTTGCTAGTTGGTAAGAATTTTGTGTGGTTTAAATGAGACAATGAGTGCAAATTATCCTTTAGAATTCTAGTCCTAAATAGATGCTCAGTAAATTCATTTTTATGAGACTAGGGTCTCATATAGCCCAGGCTGGCCTCAAACTCACTATGTAGTCAAGGATGACCCTTAATTTCTGATCCTTCTGACTCTACCTTCCAAGTGCTGAGAATATAGACATGTGCCACCATGCCCCATTTAGACCATGCTGGGAATTAAACCTACAGTTTCTTGCATGCTAGGTAAGTAAGTATTCTACCAAATGAGATTCATCAGCAGCATATCACCAAATATCTCTAAGTATCCATCATATCCCAGGCACTGCTCTGATAACCATTGCCTGAGACAGTATACCTTGTATCACCTCAGATATAATCATTTCAGAATACCATCAGTGAGGTCCTCTCTTCAAGGTTTCTCCTTTTTGTCCTGGGGTGTGCAGATGCTCCTTCTTAAAGGTGCTGGGGTAGAGATAGGCATCCCCTATGCCTAGTGCCCCAGTCTCATTGGCTCCAAACTTTCATCTCAGTAAGTGGTACCTACCTTTAGGTACCACTATATGACAAACATGCAACACAGTGTATGGGGTTAGGGGGTATAGTAATTGTCACATAACAGACTTGGTAACCCCTTACTTCTTAACACATGCTTGGCACCCACAGGCATAAGTGTATCATGGGTAAAGATATCTTGACTTGCACTTTTCGCCATTGAGATTATGGCATGCAGCTGGGTCTCCCCCCTAGATCCTGTAATTTATGTACCATAAAGCTTCTACTTAGCACCAGGGAGCCTCAGAGACTGTCCACAGCTGAAAGAAGGCAAATGTGGCCAAGTATGCCCCTGACCACTGCACTATGGAGTCTCCATAGTTCTTATCTGGCCTTGGGGGTAAAAAGTGAACCCCCAGCTGATAGATTTCTCTGCAGTCATTCTATTCACTCCTCTCCTTTCTGTCGGCACCAGTCCCAACCCTCCCTAGATGATTAAGACCTCTTTTCTTAAATGAGGACATTGCCAGGCTTTGGTGACCCAAAGAGCTTTTCACAGGCAACCAGTACAGGGCCTCAAGAAAACAACTTGAGAACTTGAGAAGGGACAGAACATGGGGCCCAACCAGGGTGTCTTTGAAGCATCAGCCTAGAGCATAGCATCGTTCATTATAGAGCATAACATTGTTCCATGAGAGCATAGAATTGTTTCACAATAGAGCATAGCACCATTCCATCATAAAGCATAGTGTCATTCCATCATAGAACATAGCATCATTCCATCATAAAACATAGTGTCATTCCATCATAGGACATACTATCACTCCATCACAGAGAATAGCACCATTTCATCATAGAGCATAGCATCATCATAGATGATGTCATTATTCCATCAGGGCCTTGGAGTCCATGCTCAGGAGGATGGGGCTGGTCTTTCTAAAGGCAATGGGAAACAACCATTGTTAAGTAGAGACAGATATGATTAAATATACTTTCATGAAAGGTCATCTTCAATGCTGTGTGTTGAAAGGACAGGAGTAGTAGGTGATAAGAGAGACCAGTGAGAGTACTGGTTGTCAAGAAGGTAATGCCAATAAGGTAACATCTAAGGAAGTTAGAGGGGGAAGTACAAAGTGCTGGAGTAGAGTGTTCTCATGAGGACAAGCTGTAAGGCTTGAAGAGTTTCCTGATGCTGGGATTTTTCAGTGCCAAGACAATAGCCTTATTCACCAAGCCATAGAGTATAGTGCATAGGGCCCATAGTACTTTCAGAGCTCATGGAAATGCTTTAATAGCACAAGAAGATGTGAATATGAAATGAATGCCTTTATGTGTAGTGTTTACCTAAATTGTTCTAGTATTAATAACTCAGGAATCAAAAATTGAGATAAAAACCTGATAAAATCCAAGGAACAGCAGAGGGTTGATTGGCTGACCCTACTCTCCAAAACACCCCGGAAATCTCCCCCCAACCCCTCCTTCTCTCTTCCGACCCTCTCTATCCAACTTCCTCAGTCCTTCAATATCTCTACAGCTAATCTTGGTCAGCCAATTACTCACTCCATCCTTGATTCAAGGTGGCTTTATTGGCACAGTGGACAGGCAATGTAAAACATTCACCCACAACATATATAGAACTTTTGTTGATATGTGACTTTGGGGGGTTTTGTTGATTTGGCTTGGTTTGGTTTTGCCTTGAACTCCTGAGTTCAAACAATCTCTTACTTTGGCTTCCTGAAAAGCTCCTGGGACTACAAGCATATACCACTGTTAGTTATGAATATATAATATTGAATTAGTCAAGATTATGTTTGTCTTTGTACAAATGCCCCTTGGGAAGTGATGGGGTGACCTAGGGAACTGGCAGGAGAGACTTTGGGTGTTGCTCTGCTGTAGATCACGTGCTTCCAAAATGAAGGAAAAGGAAGAGAAAAGGGAGGGGTGATGAGTAGATGGTATCACAGGTATTCCGGTTGTAGGACTGATAGACTGTAGGGCTATGTTCCAATGAACCTTGAAACAAGAATGATAGAGTCAGGGATCCTATGTGTAACAGCTCATTCACTTGGGCAGTCATGTGTGTGAAGGTACCTTTTACTGAGATATCGATCATTGTCATCAGTTGCCTGTCTACCTGTCAAGCATTCCTTTTCTTGTCTTCAGAATGGGACCATTGAAAACTCTCTTAGGATTATCGTAACAATCAAAAAGTTTTCTTAATGACCAAAGTAAAAGCACCTAGCTCACAGTGCATTCTCTTCAGCATGACTTGAACCTTGCCAAAGGTCCAATGTCATTCATTCACACTTGGCCACCGGGTCTGGGAGCCCATCCCCTATGGAATTTGTGTCCTGGTGGAAGAATCACCATTAAGAAATGGAAATTGTGTGCTACCAGAGTTCCTGTGTGCCCAGTACAAGTCATATGAGAACGTGGAGGTTTGCAGAAGGGCTCTTCAGAGATGTGGTCAGCCAAAGAAGGTAGCCAGGGTGGCTTTCCAGAGAAGGGGCATGCCTATGAGTATTCTCTTACCCTGAGTAAGAACAGTGGAGAGAAGGCAGCTGGTGTTCTCTGGAGTCCCAGGCAAGCTGCTCTCAGAATCCTTGCTGAGAGGCAACAGTTTCCACACTGTTCACTGAGACTTGCCAGTACCTCTTCTGCCCCAGCAGTGAGAAGCATTTGTTTTTCCCCTGCTGTACTGCTGTTGAAGGAACTCCTGGAGCTTGTCCCAGGATATCCCCTCTGCCCATGTGCATGACTCCTCCCCTGTCCCCACCAAACTCAGTAAAGCAGAACCCATGTCCAGTGAGCAGGTGCAGAATTGTCGTCTCCATTCATCCTTGACTGCCCACTATAAACCCATGCCCAGGGCTGTGTCCACAGACTGCCTCCCCCATCTACCTCAGGGATCCTAGAGCCCAGAGCATCTGCAGAATGGGTTGGCAGTTGCAGACACCATTAGAGTCATGTGTTACTTCCCAAAAGTAGTGGATGTGAAAAGTGGTTTGTAAACTGTAAGACATTATACAGATGTTCGTTCATTCACCATTTGAAAATGAGTCAAGAAGGTGCCAGCACTCAACTCAGGAACAAAGTGGAAAAAGAGAAAGTGAAAGGAGGACCAGTGGCCATGAAGCACCTCCAGGGACAATGGACTGCACAGAAAGACAGTGTGTCACTGCTCATGGATAAACATGAGATGCCCTTGACTCCTAACAGCCTTGGTTGTTCTTTGGTTAACAAGGTAGCTAGCAGCAGTTCCTGGCTGGAGCAGCCCTCCCCTCTCTTTCTACCCTTCTCAGCTGCTTACCCAGGGTGCAGGGCATGAGCTGCTATGGAGCGGGACACCAGGCAGCCCCCAGATCCTTCTTCTTCCTCTGGCATCCAGCAGTGCAGTCACTTGAGGCATGGAGCCAGTGCCGGAAACTGAGACTGGCTGAGTGCTGGGGAGCTTTGCGATTGGCAGGTGGAGCTGGCAGCCTGCTTCCTGGAGCAGACCCCAGGCTGGGCAGAGGCTTAGTATTCACCATGTGGAGGAGATGAGTGGCTGAGGGGGACAACAGGCAGCAATCCTGGATTGGAAGGGATGCCAAGATCACCAGGAGACCTCCAGCTGCCATTGAGATCCGGGTTTTACTACAGCTGTGACATGCTCTGCATCATGATGAGAATTTCCATGCTTATTGTCCATCATAATAGTACTATGCCATCATAGATATCAGTGACAGCAATGCCACCAGTCCAAAAGTTGACTTGACCGGGTTCATGAGAGGTGAAAGTCAAGACTTCACAGACAACCTTGTGTTTTCCTTGGACTGAAATTTCTAGATGCTGTCCAGACCATAGTCAGTGGTCCCAGTATCTTCATCCTCTTATTTCCCACCCCAAGGCAGGTACAGCCTAGGCACAAGACCTCCTTGGCTGTGTGCATCACAGAAGACTTCCAGACAGAGTTCACAGCAGCTCCCATCCACCTCCATAACATTCCTCTCCGCCTGGTTCCTGGATGAGTTTGGCCTATGTGAAAACCCATCAAGAGTTTGGAGGGAGACCAGGCATGGTGGCACACACTCTTAATCCCCTAGCTTGAAGGGGCAGAAGAAGGAAGATCTCTGTGAGTTTGAGGCCAACCTATCTACATAGTGAGTGTCAGGAGATCTAAAACTACATAGAGAGACACTGTCTCAAAAAAAAACTTACAAAATAGAGTTTGGAAGAAAGAAGGGAATAGAATGAGGCAAGATGATTGCCTCCCCATGGTTCCCTCAGCTAGCTAGCCTCTTGCCAGTCTCTGAAGGCCAGGCTGTCCTGGAACTCACAGAGATCCGCCTGCCTCTGCCTCCCGAGTGCTGGGATTAAAGGCGTGCGCCACCAACGCCCAGCTTCATTTAACTCTTGAATCCCAGGCTGATGCCTGGGAATCCAGCATGGTACTGATCAAGACCCCTTGAATTGGGTGTCAGTGAGGAAGCCTAGGTAATTTATTGAGCCTTGGGCAGTAGATCAGTATTCATCCCAAGTATACACGTGGACTTTGGACTCCCATCCAACAATGAGAGATGCACTCTCACCCTGAACTCTTAGGGGAGGATCTAGGCCCTGCCCTGGATGAAATATCAGACTATGGACACCCCCATGGAGGGCCTCACCCTCCCTGGGGAAATGAGGGGATATTGGGGGGTTGAGGGGAGGGCACGGGAGGAGGGGAGGGAAAGGGAGAGGGACCTGGAACTGACTTGTGAAGCAACCTTGTTTCTAATCTAAATTTAAACTTAAAAATAAATAATAAAATTTAAAAAAAAGACTCCCCATCCTGACAATTCAGAAGGAAAGAGCCAGAGCTCCTTCCTTTAGAAAATCCAATGTCTGGCTCCTGCCCAATGCCTTCCTATCCCAGCCTTGGATGTGGTCGTTAGCATAACACACACACTCAGTTGAGGTGGACCATTGGGATGTAACCAAGGTGTGAAAAGTAATTATACATGGGATATTAGCAATTAGCATCACTCTTGGGTTTCACTTGCTGAAACATGCCTCCCTTGTCCACAGAGGCTGGGTTTGGGGTTGAGATTAGTATTTGGATACCAGTGGCCATCCAGGGCCACTGCAGGGTCAGGAGCAGCCCAGGCCTTGGTATCAGGGGTTTGGGAAGGCTGCACACTGAGCTCTGAGTCTAGGTTTGTTCTTCAGAAGGCATTATCTCACTTGAGTTCCCTGGCATCCTAGGGACCTCAGCTTCACATAGTGGCTCCCAGGGTGATGAGAGTGGCCAACTAGGTAGGTATGGCTGGAATTGGGTGTAGTGGAGTGAACACATAGACTTTAGGACTTAAATGTGCCATACAGGTAAAAGTATATAACTGCCACTGGTACAAGGCCAGGAGCACAGAGAACCCCTAGTAAATGTTAGGAGAGCCTCCAAATACTTCAGACATGGCACAGGGTGTGCAAAATGGCCCCATTTTATCCTATTCCAAACAGGAAGCCCGCATCTAGAGACTAGGGCTAGAACCCCATTTAAGAGTGAGTCAGCGAGATATCAATGCTTCAGGAACCTCCAGGCCTTCTCAAGCAGCAAGGATATTCACCTTGAGATGAAATGAATTTGCAAGTATGAGAGGTTTCTGAAAAGCAGCTACTTCGGGCTATATTTGTCACACTGGACCCTGTACTGTCACACTTTGCATCCAGAATTCCAGACCACTTCCATTTCACCCAGTATCCACACCCCTCACTTCCACTGGGCACCCAGCATACCTCCACACATCTTACTTCTCTCCCACCTTTCACTGTGTCTTAGAGATTGCCAAATGCCTTGTGTAAACACCATACAGAGGAGGAGAAGGCTCAAGGCAAGGAGCTCTTCCTTATGCCTCCCTCTTCTCAGAATACCCTGAAGATAGTTAAAGTGCCAGACTTAGTCAACACAAATATTAGACATAGTGTATTTCCTTTTAGTTTAAGTTTATCACAAATATTACATGAGGCATAGTATACTTAAAAAGTACTAATGTGCATCTTCAATTCAAATTTAGCTGACCTCCCAACCCTGGGCTCCAAATCAAGTCAACCACTGGTGCCTGTCTTGGCAAGTGGTCATTCTATGAGTGCCCAGCACAGCAAGCTGAGGCTCTCTGTAGAACATAAGCCAACCTTGGTATAGAAACCTTAGGGTCTCATATTTCAACAGAGCCATACTTTTGCTACACTCAAAGAACCCTCCAACAATAATCCATTCAGTAGCTATCTAGTAAGCATCTACCTAATGTCTGGAGTTACAGTAGTGAACAAAATATAAATAAGATGCTTGTCTCATAACCTTCATGTTTGGAGAAAGTACCAAATGTCATATTCTGTCAGACACTTTAGATACAATCTCTATAATCCTCTCAAGGAGGAAGAAGAGAAGAAGAGGAAGAGAAATGATGGTGATTATTATGATTTTCCTGATGAGAAGACTAAGGCTTATTAAAGTTGATCATTTAGTCATTCATTCACAACTATTTTAGGGGCATTGCCAGGTACTGTCCTTCATGCTGGATCAGCAGTGAACAAAGTAAATAGCCATATCCCTTCCTAGAATGGAGCTTAACATTGATGGGAAACATAAACAGTAAAATGAATACCAAATGAGAAGATGATGTGTTAGTTAGTTTTTTGTTACTGTGATATACCCAAGAGAAAGTTTAAAAGAGGAAAGAGTAGGCAGAGCATCATGGTGGAGCTAGCAACTCCTCCCTCCCCCACCTTTAAGAGTTCTACCGCATCGGCTCCATCCCTAGGCTAACCCATGGGTGGGGATGGAGCCCTCCTCAGTTAATAATCTCTGAAAACACCCTCACAGACACACCAGAAGCGTGCTTTACTAATATAGGTGTTTCTCAATTCACTCAAGGCTAACTGTCACACGTAAGCGAAGGAGACAGAAAGCACAGCAGATCTGGGCAGTGCCAGGATTGGGCACTGTGTCTCAAACAGGGATGTCAAGACACACACTTAGCAAGGTGGAGTGTGCAAAAAGATGAGAATGGGGAGGGGGTAGGACCAGAGAAGCGAGACAAGCTTCAACACCACTTGGTTCCAGCTCTGGAACTGAGTTCCCACTTGCTCCATGTTGCTGCCTCCAGACCTTACCCGGGGAGTCTGGACCTGCCTGTCCCTTTTGAATATGAGAGTTCACTTAATCTCCATGTCGGAACAACCCTGAAGGCAAGTTTTGTTATCACGGTTTTCCAGAGAGGGAAGATGAAACGGCTTGCCTAGAGTGCTAATCCTGGAAATCGAAGCCTGAGGTTTCCTACCCAAGGTGGAGGAAAGACATTGGCTGCCTGTTTGGCAGACAACTCCCTGACCCTTGATTTCCCCATCTGAAAAGCAGATTTAATATTCTCAACTACCTTCTAGCATTGCTGAATTTCTGTGGATTTGTAGGTAATGCTGATAACATGCCAAGCTCACTGAATTTAGGCCTTTTACTTATTTTTATTTTTTTGCAGTTGTGTATTCTAGGCTGTCCTCAAACTGGCTATGTAGCTGAGAATGACCTTGAGTTTACGAGCCGCCTGCCTCCACTTCCCCAGGGCTTAGGGTGCAGGCCTACACCTTGTTTATGCAGGACTGTGAACCCAGTGCAAGACTTTGTACATGCTAAGCAAGCTCTATCCACTGGAGCTACATCCCCAACCCTGGGCTGGCCATTGCTCTTCTAAAGTCAGTGCTTTACTTTCCAAGTGACCCTGGAAGTCCTGGTGCTCAGTATTTGGGAGCAGACTATGATGCTCTGGGGAAATAGGGTCTGGAGATGGAGGATCACCCCTCAACATGAAGCTGGCAAGGTAGGCAGGTTCACCTGTGGGACAATGGGATGTGTGAATGCTGCTGGAACCAAGTGGTGAGACTTCCTGATTGTAATTACCCTGAGTTGAGGTTATGACTTCAGCAATTTTATTCTTCTTTTGGAAGCACTGGCTCATATTTTATGCATGCGCAGGGCCTAATTGCATCCAGAGAACGCTCTCTGCCTGTTGGTCTGGAGGTGCACCGCCATATGCTTGATGTGTGCGTGATTAACCCAGTGCAGCTGCACTCCCCTCTGTCTGGATTATAGATTCCATTTCAGCTTTGCTCTTAGGCATGAGTCCCACAATTTATATTTATTAACATGATTACCTTTTAAACAGGGTGCTGAGGGCAGAGTTCAGCACCGTGCTGGAAGCCTTCTGGGCCAGGCACATGCAGACAGTGCCTTTGGACAATTTTGCACAGCTCGGGCTTTGTCCAGAACTAGGCAGCTCCCTGAGCTGGCCCCACAGAGAGTTCTGAGCTTCCCTGAAGGTAGTGGGGATCTTTTTCCTGACACCTGCCATCCATTGCTCCTGGACTTCCTAGCTAATGCGACCCTGACTGAATAATTGCCTTACAAATCTTCCTTCAAATCCTGACAGCCACTGACCACTCAGGTTCTCTTGCCAGAAAGTACTGCCTCCTAGCACCTGAAGTAGGGACTGAGGCACAGTGGACATCTGATTAATATTGAGCAAGGGATGCTTAGGAATGCTCCATCAGTCTTCCAAAGAAGGTACCTGCACCTGCGACCCACATATTCCATGACCTCCACAAATAGTCACTTGCCCACA